ATAATAATAATAATAATAATAAAGGACCCTTTGTTCTCTATGATTCTTTATTACCGTCTAAGAGTCTAGTTATGTTAAATGGAGGATTTGTGTTCTTTTAAAAAGGTTTTGGATTATGAAAAAAAAAAAATTTTTCCCCCCCTTAAAGGGCCTGGAAATCTCTTTTTTTAGATATAGGAATTTTATTTACTTTCTGTCTCACGTGGAGTTCAATGATTGGTTGTTATTTATTGTGAATGTAGAATAATTTTATCCTAAATTATTATTTAAACAATCAAAACTGTCTTTTTTCTTCCGTCTTTCTTACCTTCATCCCCTCTGTTCCATACTCCATCCTTTCTTTCCTTCCTTCTCTCCTTTGTCCTTCCCCTTTTTCTTTCATTTCTTCCTACGATCTGTTTAAGACGACGTTAAATGGTCAACGTCCATCTTGTGGATCCATGACTGCATCAGAAACTACAGAAAAAAAAAACAACAAATCAGCTCACATGAAAAAAAAGTTTAAATTATGAATTTATGATGGAAAAAATATATATCTGTCCAGTTGCACAATTTTTAAATTCAAAATCAGATAAAACAGCATCAAATGATCTGAAATATTACAAAACAAATACACACAAACACTTAAAGCCCACATTTTTCCTTTGTTCCATCTATTTACTTTTCTTTCACTCATTAGTCCCTTATTCCTTTTGTCTTTGTTTTTTCCTTCCTTTCTCCTATTTCTTTTCCTTTTCCTGTGTCCTTCCCTCTCTTTCTTTCCTTCCATCATCTCCTTCCTCCCTCCCTTTGCATATTTTATCCTTCCTTTCCTTCGTCCCTTCTTTCTCCAATGAAGCTCAAACATCCAAATAATAGAAAAACTGCAGTTATAATTACACATATGGCACCAACAGCCACGCTAACATGCACACCGCCGACAGAGGTCAGCAGAGATCCGGTGTGAGCTCCTGCAGGTGTGGAGGAGTGATGCTGCCCACTGCTGCGGTGATGGAGAGCAGCTGCAGGAGGCGACACAGCCCCTGAGCCTTAATGGGGGGGAAGAGCTCAGCGGGGAGGATCCAGCGCTTCAAGGATCAGCTCCCTTTTTACGCATGACATTAAAGAATGATTCACATTCAGGACGGCGCTGGTGTCGGCGCAGCACTTAAAGTGAAACAAAGTGCGAAGTTGGGATGAGGGCACTTCTTTTTTTTCTTTGTGTATCTCACATGCTGTCAAGAAACAAGCTGCACGGGCACATCCCAGCGCTGAACTCCCCATCAGAGTCCCACTGCTGGAGGAGGCCGACTGTGTGCCATTTCCCCGGCCAGTCCCCAGACAGCTTCAGTCGAGTCCTGATAAATAGAGATTTTAATTCCTCCGGACAGGGCCTGTGACTGTCAGGATAGCCTGAGGCGAGCAGGGGAGACTCTCCTCCCCGGCTTTGTCCGGGTAAAGACAGGCAGCTCTCACCAGCCGCATCACAATGAGGCGGAGAAGTTCAGCTGTAGGACAAGATGCTGATGCCTGCTTCCGGACTAACTTTTCCATGCATCCGTTTCTAGATGTTCCTGCGCTCGACTGTAGCCTCCAGGCCAGAGTTATGATGTTTACTTGAAAATAAAAATCCACACTTTTCGATAAAGAGCGAGAGACACGGGCAGAGAAGTTGTGGCGTTGCATTAGTCATGCAGTAAAAAGGAGCAGGAGTGTGTGGAGGAAGAGGAGCGGACCTCTGAGATGAGTAAGCACAGCCCTACACTCAATTTACTGCTTGATTTATGAGTTCATTTCCTGCACGAAGTTCTCAGCGGGGGTGAGGTGGTATATCTTTCCCACTATAGGTAGCAGTGGCTCCACTTCCCAATCCCCAGGAGACCCACTCTCACCACTGCAGGCCTTAGTGGGACTATAAATAATGACTGCTGTAACAAGTACACATTGAACACAGAAGAGGAGAAGATGCCCAAACATCTTTATTCATGAAGGAGCTTCTTATCTTCCCCTGCAGAGGACCAGATGGATTCCGACCACTCTGCATACTCAAACACGGTTTACAGTGCTGCCTACTGTATCCCCGGCTCTCAGATAAGCATCTTGAGATATTCTGGATAATCGGATGATAGGAGGAGACCTTTGCAGCTGGCTTTTTACTGCGTGTGAGCGCATGTGATTCACAAATCAAATGCTTTCAAACGCACCGACGTTTGTCTCTCAAAACAGTTTAAGGAGAAGCGGCTTAACGGGAGAGGTTACTCGAATCCAAAGAACCGCCGTCCTCAAAGAGAAAAACATGCTTCAGATATAAACTGCTCAAGCTAAAGCACATTCGCTCTTTCCCGTGCGTACGACGGGATGAAAAACATGCTAAAAGGACAATTATTTAGCGTTCTATCTTTAGCACCTGAGTGAAAACTGGGACATGAAATTGCTGCTCCACATTGAAAACAAAAGTGACTCAGAGTTGTCCAGCTGAGATTAATGGCACCAGGAAGTAATACGTTGTGCACGAAGGTCTGGATGGAAGTTTCTGAATGTGCTGTGAAAGTGTGCTAGCTCCCACAAAAGTACGAGAAATGAGGCCTTAACATCACCATTAGTCGCTTGTTGTTTTGTTTTTTTAGAAATGTCAGGTCGGATATTACAAATCTTAACTCGTATGAATGAATGTAATGTGATTCATAGTTCTGCACTGAATCCAGCTTCACATGCACTTCCTGCGTTTGGTCTCTGGCTGCAGAGCTACACGTCTCCTCTGAACTCTCCAGCCTCCCCGGTGTCTTGTGCATTGTTTTGCCTGTTTTCTCTCTGCTATCCTGTTCTTTACCTCCTACCCTAACCAGGTGAGGTAGACGGCCGGCCTCCCTGAGCCTGGTTCTGCTGGAGGTCTACACGAGATCTTCACCTCGCTACGTGACGTGCTACGAGATAACGCATGTGAAGTGGCGCCATATAAATAAAACTGCATCGACTACATGTCACGGTGACACAGAGCGCATTGATTGGATTGTTTGGTAGCGATTGATCGAATACATTGATTTGTGTGAACATGATGCCGCTGTGCAGCACCACAGCAAATGTGTGCACCAGTGCAGTCATGTGTCATTTATGTCTTCTCTCTTTTCTGCTTTGTCAAGAAAACTTCAGCAAAAGTAACAGCTGCATCACAGTCATTAGCTCTGACTTCACCGTAAGCTGGTCCATTTCAGTTGCTGTTGTTTGAAGCACACAAAGAAACTCAGAGTGACACAGAAAGCGTACGTGCTCGTGTCAGTGCAACACCAGCTCACAGTGCTGGAGGCCACTTGTGTAACTTCTGGTGAAGATCAAGCTGAATGTCACCACAGATACAGCGAGTTGGACTGTTTGCTGAAACATTAGCCTCATGCTATAGCCTGTATTTTAGGGATGAATGATTCTGACTTTTTTTTACTAATATCCGATATATTGTCCAACTCTCAATTTCCGATATCAACCGATACGTTTGCTACTGCAGCCACACTTGTTTACACGCTTCACGACACAGTTTGATGTCGTCATCATTTGCTCGCAGGTAAATGCCGCCGAAATCCAGGTGTCATTTCATCGGATTTCATTATAGGCCACAAAAAAACGATAATGATATTGACAGATATTACATTTTTATGCCAATATCGGGCCGATGTTGACATGTGATGGCGGCGCGCATGGATGCAGCGCCCCCTTCAGGAG